TACTTCACAAATCCAGTCGTAAATATAAACAACTGGAAATAACAAACCCATATAATTGATAAGAAATATTAATATCCAAAAGATAAGTTGGTAATGAATGTGATTCGGTAGTATGATAAAAACTTCTTTGGAGTTTAAAGCAATGAATATTGGTTGGTGTTCCGATCCCTTTGTAAACATCAACTGAGATTCTAAGGGATTCACTCGACGAATTCCAAACAAAAAGAAAATCGAATCACTGATAACGACTCCTTAAAATAATTATGTAATCCATTAAAGAAACATGCCCATTTTAAGCTGATAACAAATATTCTTTGATAGAAAAAAATTATAATATCATGTTCGTAGGATAGTCATTTTAATTGTAAAATTTTCAATCTTCCTAAACTAATTTCAGTACCAAGTTTATGGAAGTCCACTAGTCTTTTTTATGTTTCTTCTACCTGAAGTTTGTACTGATGATGTCGTTCAGAAGAATGATGATAACTCCACGACAAAACCATCCAGCTCAAAGAACAAAACTCCACCAAAATGTTTCTTCTTCTTTGGTTTTCTATATTTTCTCTATTAAATTTCTGTTCATAGGTGTCTAAATAACTTGATTTAAGCAAAGATATATCATTAATACAAACGTTAATGACATACAGCTAACTAATATTCTTAGATGAGTTAATTACCTCAATCAGCATAGAAACCATAATGATTAAAATGTGACAAAAATAGTTACAAAGTGATAAAATGTTAAATTGATTTCTATTGTAAAATGTATTGATTTTGAGGAAACTTGTAAATCAATATTAGGTCTTAATAATTTTTACAACACTTATTAAGTTCTCGTTTGTATAAACATGGATTAAGGTGGTACGCCTTCATATTGATTAAATCTTAATAATGCTTGTTTAATTTTGATTTTATTGATTTTAACACATATATATATTGGTACAAGGCAGCACCGAATACATATGCGCCACACAAATCTCATTCGATATGTGTAAGGGTTGTGATACTGCCCGGGTGCCCAAACCGGAGCAGGTGGTTTTCTGTGAGGGCCACATCCAGAGCCTTTGACCTGAATGTCTGATCCACAAGGCAGTGGAGCATCGTAAAGAGATGCAGTCCCATGGTAGCCGGTGACCAAAAGCTGGTTCATACTCCATTTGTTTCCGCAGGATACTGGAGTTCATGTGTACCATTGGTTTGGAATCAGTGTTTTCCAACTCCCATAGGTGGACTCTCCATCTCCACCAACCCGGTTAAAGCGCCAGACATTCGCTTTTCGTCCTCTCAATTTGGTAAGCAACACCCGTGGTACGAGAATGCAGTGAGTAGGACTTCCCTGGTAGAGGCTATATACGCGTGACCATGTGAGAGCATTTCGAGAGGGATGGCGGCCTGTCCTCACTCTCGGCCGTACCAGGGCATTTGGGGGCAATGCTTGTTTAAAATTGATAGTGAAACACATGTTATTATTAAAATAATCTACTGGTAATGAAAATATCAAGTACTCTTTATGTATTTCGCATATTTCGAAAATAGAAATAGGATGAATTAATAGAACAATGATAAAAATTCATTCTTAGAGTTAAAAAAGGTGGATGAAAATCAATTAGGCAATTTTTGTTAACCAGTAAAAACAGTAGAGACTGATCATTTGGAATTGTGAATACCAACAACGGAAAACTACGTCCGTAAGTTGATGAACTACATTTTCTTTCCAATTTGTGTTACGAATGTAACATTTTAAACCTCTGTTCATATCAGATTATGTCTCAGTTGCATCTACAAGATAGACGATATGTACAGCTAAGGAACCCTTGAACTGTGAGATTAGAATTATTTTATACCTTTCTTTCTACAAACTAATTCTTTCTTCCTGTATTATATCCTTATACACAATCTTTCTTTCATATATTACTACCATTGAAGTAACTACTCCTATGAATTTGGTGATCATCTTGTTGTGCTAATGAGATGTGGCAATTTGGACCGATTCATATATGTGCCTGGTCCTATGTTGTAGCTGACTGACTGACTGACAGCTGAGGTTTAAAATCACCCACTAGGTAAAGTTCACAATATGAGTCACACAAACCTGCAAGTTTTGATTTTTTATGAACATGTTGTCGTTTGTTGAAAACATAGTTGGCAATCATTTTCTTATTGTAATAAGAAAGAAAAATATCTTCAACTTAAGAAAGTTCAACAAATCAGTAAAGGGTGAATAGTTTTCTCGAAATTAGTCGTTAAACAGCGAAAACTAGGGTTATTCCCATGAGATACAACAACTCATGATTGTAATAATGATCATCAAGATAATGCGTAAAAACCTTTCAGTCCGAATATATGAATAAGATTCACATACACAACCGACGAGTTATCTATATTACCAAGTAAAGAACGAATTTCAAAACCATTCTTAGTAGTGCCTGAGAATTTATTGATCAATGAAGATGACTTAATTTGATATACATATTTTATATGGAAACCACATGAATTTCGACAACCGTCTCATCATGAGATGAGAGTTTCATCCACATAAATCTTTGATTGTCTCAAGAATTCTGTTTTCATCGAAAATCCTACAACAGTAAATACCTCCGAAAATTATATCATCTTCACTCTTAAAAATGGACATGGCAAACGACAGTGATGATCGTTATTAGAATCCGATACCTATAATCTAGAATCACTACTTTAATAGTCCCCAGAAATATGCATTTAATTGACCGATTGATTTGACGCTTTTGATTAAATGAAGGGTACAGGTGGGGTGTGGAGAGGGACATTTGCTAAGAAAATCCCACACTCTTAACGATCAATTCTTGTTGGAGGTATTCTAAGTATTATGCTTTGTTTCTCTGTGCTATATATTCTTTGGAAAAGAATTGTAGGCTAGGCTGAAATGCATCAGAAGTTCAATTTTCTCGCCTTTGGGATATTAAGGATACATCAATATTTCTATTGTAAACAGTCCACTCAAAAGTCAGTATAATTAAAATTTTGGTAATGATACGGACGCTGACTTCAACATTCTATCTCTTTAATACATTCAATATCTTATTGTTACTAACTTTCAGATAAGCGGTGATGGATATGACATACTTTATTACATAGATTCCTTGGGATGAATCATTTCTATCACCGTTATCTCAAAACAAATATTTTTTGTTCGTTGATCAACCTAATAACCTGAATTTCGTTGAGTTTTGCCATAACATAAAGAAAAAAAATCGAAGTCAATAATCTCGACCACTGAGCCTAAACTGTGTCGTAAGGCTTAAGCACTCTTATCGAGACTTTATATCGGTGTCGCGGGGTACAATGTATGCTCACTGTTGAAGAACTTCATACTAGAAAGAAACATCTACCCAGTGCTATCTTATTTCCAATGGCAACGTAACTGTTATCCATCCATAATATAACCTTGGTTACATTCAGAATGTCTTAGTAAGACTGAGAACCATATAGTAGATACTTCATTTGCAAAATGTTCGTTAATTGACTTAAACTGCATTTCCATACAAATTACTTTCTGTTCCCGTTCTTTCCTCCTCGATCTTCTTGACCTGCTGTCAGATATACTATTCCTGACTAGCGTTACATAATACTCATGTCGATATCACTAGCGCACATCACAGAATGTCTGCGAGTAGTAGGTTGAAATTAAACGAAGTAAACGGAAAACAATCAAAATAACAACAGGAATGAACAAACAGTGTAGCACATAAGAGACAATTCTAAAATGTGCAAATGATGTATTCGATCTACGGTTTTCATATTTTACTAATAGGTTGATTATGGAGTGCTGTTAGAGGTATGAGGGCGGTTATCACTTCCCGGTTGCCCACACCGTGGAAGGGTTCTTCTGGAGGTGCCTGAAAAGGAAATTGGATTAGAGGTGGTCTTAGTGACCTGAGACTGTGACCTCAGTGCCCAACGAATGAGTGCTTGAGGTCGGTCACACACGACCTTTCGTGAGTAATTTTCGTGTTAGCTCCGTACTTGTTCAGATCTTACCGCTGGAGAAGAATATCCATGGGATAAGGCGGTGTGTTCATCTTTAGGGTGGACCTTTTCTAACCCCACCCCTTCTTGTGGGAAGGCAGCATCGCTGTTATGCTGGTTGTCTGAAGGAAACACCTTACTGCTGTCACACCTCTGTACAGTCAGCAGTACGAATTCGCCTTCGGACCTTAGGTTTGTTGCTTTTAGTCTTACCAATCTTCAACCGACCTGTCTGACATTGTAGGACCTTGAGGAACGGTTGTTCCAGCCAGTATAGCTCGGTTGCTTCATCACGATAAGCAAGCCCGACCACCACGTCAAGGTAGCAACAACGGTCGGGATATTTTACTAAACCACTCTGTAATTTTGCATTAAACAAATAAACTGACCATCCTCACCTGAATTTTTGTACACTACACTACTCTATATATGAATATTTTAATACAAAATCTCAGAGTTGATGAATTGTAATAAATATCCATGAACTATTTGATATGATTTGTGTATTTTCCAATTACTAATTACCTACCTACATAGCTTTAGAAAGAAAAAAAAACGATATAGTAAGTAACAAATCAATATATTACGGACTTCTAACCTAAAAATAGTAGAGTTTACGAATTGTTTTAATATAAGTTAATACATATTGATTATTCACTGACAAAAATGGCAATATATAAGAGTACAATATGATATGATAAATATTTCGGTACTATTTTTAGTAGAATATATCGATAAGTTGAGAATAATATTGATGAAGATACTTTAATCTGACAACCTGTTAAACTATAAAGAATAACTACCAAAGTAATTATAATCTGATTAAGTGTTTTTGTTAGAGTTCAGTAATGACTTAGTATGGTTCATATCAATAAGCTTCTATTTAACAAATAACATAATGACTGTGAATAACAACCAAAGAGACTAACATTCTTAATTAGAACACAAAGAAAGAACTACCTTTTATCGGTGTATTGTCATTTTGATTTAAAAACTCAGTTGCATACATCAACCACACGACCATAATGCAACACAAATGAGAAATCATAATCTGTAAATAAGTAAGTCAAGTAATACAGAAGTGAACAATAAGTGCATAATTGATTAACCGTAACTTATGGACAACATAACATAAAACTCATAAAATGAAAGTATGTAATAAGCGTAATAGAAAAACTCCACACACCACGTATTTAATGAAGGGCTATATATGTGTGCTAATTTCCTACATTATCATTCTAAAATTTCCATCTCTCCTGATTATTTGCACACGAGTCAAACGTAAGCTTTCAAAGACAATAGAGGATTTATGTTATTATTATTTTCATGATAAGATTAGTAAGATAGCCGTGTACCACTTGTTAATTTCTAAATAATTAATGAGAAAGTTAGTGGCTAGTGTCGCAATGCCTTTTAACCTACAACCGTGAACCATAACTTTGTCATTTATGTTAATAGCTTGTGGACGCATAGACTAACAAACTATATCAGTTTTTGTGACAGCAGTGTTTATTACCGGTAACCATGTTTTCTCAAAAATAAGTAAATATGTAATATTTATGTCTTGTTTGGACAGCACAGCTGTTTGTTTTTGTAATTTGATATTTATTTGAGCCTCCTATCTTGTTCTTCACATTGATTTCTTATCCATAAAGTGATGAAACTCATTTGAACTTACGAAACAAATTACTACTAAAAATATCTCAGTACGTAATTCACGTCCATGTAATCTAGGAACAATGGGATACAAAGGCAGTCTATCATCTACAATTTAGTGTAGTTCATACTTACATTGGGTGAAATTTAGTTAAACATTTGGTACAGGAGTCTAAAATTACTTGCTTTCATGAAACTAACAACCATGATATACTCAGTAAAAACGAATATTAATTAAAGTTCCTAAAGAGTTGACTGATAGTGACGGAAAATCCTATATTCCTGAGATTAAAAGTTTAAGGGTGATATACCCAGTGAAATGATGCATAAGAAAAATAGAACGAACAAATAACGTAAAAACACTATGCCCCTCTCTATAAACAGACGGATTGTGAATAACAGTGGAATCTAGGACTCGCGTCCCAACCTATTTGGGACCCGTCAGTCGGATGAACCTGCATCCCAGAGTTAATATTGATTTAATGACCAGGATCCCAACTGATTGATTACAGTCGTAGACCCAAATGAGATTATTCAGGCAACCAATACAAATCAATTAAACCAGCTCATTGTATCAACCAGTAACTATTTGGATTAAGTAGATAAGAGGATTATGCGATTATGGCATCGTGAAACAGTTCCTGAGGATTGACAGCATACTTTTTGATGGAGTTTTGTTCTGAGCTAGATGGTTTGGTCGTAGAGCTTTCGTCCTTCTGAACGACATCAACTGAAGTTTGTGCTGATGTCGTTCAGAAGGACGAAAGCTCCACGACCTAACCATCTAGCTCAGAGAACAAAACTCTAACAAAATCATCCACGTGAGCTACAAATCTTCACCATTGACAGCATACGCAAGTACACATTAAATATGTGAGAATCAACCACAAGAAAATAAACAGAAACATGTACTATCCAGTTATTCCATGAGACAATAATTTGCATTAGACCCAAGATTCCATTATATATGTAGCTGCAAATACTCACCGTATTAAAGTCACTCAGAGAACAGACTCACTAGATACAATTAGTTAATTATAACGTATATGTCGAATCAACACAAATAAAATTTATGGTAAAATGTACCATCTACCATACACAATTAGAGATGTTCTCTTTTTAAAAAAATACAGATGTATCAAACAAAAACGAAAGAAAGAGGAAAACAAAGAAAAATACACATGACGACTCGGACAAATCATCAATGAGTTGCATAAAAAGCTGAAAACAATTCCTGATCATTATAGCGGTAAAGTTTAATTTTTTAGTAAACTATTCATAAAAAGAACATGTATTTTAATAATATTAAATTTATTAAAGAATAGGCAAAATATTCGTAATTTCCTTGATTTTTATTGTACACCCAAAATCAAAATATATTAAATCGTCTCCAATTTTATCTTGTCGGCGGAAGGGAGTAGTGTGTGTGTGTGTGTAATGACGAGAAAATTAACTTCGACTGATAATTTTAATTTGGAGGTGCTCTAGATAGTTCACTACCTATCTGATAAGTGATAATTTTATTCCAATCTAGTTTGGAACGAGTTAAAGGCAGTTGTCGCCGAAGAGCTTTGAAAGTTGTGTCGGACATTGTTTTGAAGTTCTCGCCAATGGCAACCTACAAAAAAAGTATACATAGTGATTAGTCAGCAATAAACAACCTGCGGCGTGGCACTTAAATGGGGTGGGCTAACTAGCCACATAAAAACAGCGTATTAAGATAGAATGAACATAATACAAAGCGAAAGATTTGAGGTAGTAATTTCTATTATAGTCAAAAAGACTGTCGCTTAGAATGTGTTGACTATCGTTCTAGTCACTTGAATCACACTAACGTTTCCTTACGCAATTCACATTATCAGCTGACTTTAATCTCTTTAATAGGGCCAGACAAATGTTTATTTATTTATTTAAATACATAAACATTGGTACAAGGCACCAAACAGATATACGCCACATAAACCACTCGATTTGTGTGAGGGCTAGGATACTGTCTGAGTGCCCAAACCGAAGCACGTGGTTTTCTTAGAGGGCCACACCCGAAACTTTCAACCTAAAGGTTTGATCCACAAGGCAGTGGAGCAACGTGAGGAGATGCAGTCCCATGGTAGCCGGTGACCAACAATAGGTTCATACGCCTTTTTTCCCCTCAGGATACTGCAGCCCATGTGTACTATTGGTTTGGAAAGAGGGTTTTCCAACTCCCCTAGGTGAATCCTCCATATCCACTAACTCGGTTAAAGCGCCAGACATTCGATTTTCGTCCTCTCAATTTCGTAAACAACACCACCGCTATGAGAAAGCAGTGGGTAGGACTTCCCTGGCAGTGAATAAATAAATAATATATTTGTAATATCACAATGAGTAGAAAAATAAGATTTTCTGACGTTTCGTGACTTAGTGTAAGTCACTTCTTCGGAGAATAAATCACCAAATTTGGTCATTTATTTATTTATAACAGTCTACCCAATGCTCAATTTATTCGAAATTATCAAATCAAACCTTGATAATGATACCTACTTCCCTGGCAGTGGTTGTATGCACGTGACCATGTGAGAGCATTTGGAGAGGAAGAGCTGATTCTCCCCGCTTTCGGCTGTACCAGGACATTCGGGGGCAATATTGTTTTGTGGTAAGTCAATATCCATAAAGTTTGTAATTCGGACAAGGTGACTATGACCTGTAGAGTTAGGTGAGAATCTCGGAGGTAGCACATTATTCAGTTTGAATTGATTTATACACCAGCCAATAATGGAAGACAACTAATTAAATCCTATTTCAACAGAAACTGTCAGTCACTCATGTAGGAATTCAGATAACTCACTCCCATTTGAAATTTGTCCTAATGATGTGGCCTAGAAAGACAATGGAAACTTTACGACTAAATTATCCGGCTCAGAAAATCCAATATTCCCACGGATGACTAAAGCAACTATAAACTTCAGATGAGGGGAATACAAAAGTCTGAATTTAATTACATTGATGTGACAGTTTCAAAGAATGATATGAGTAGGTTGTGAATAAAAATTAAGAATAAGATAACCATTTTTTTAATCAGTACCAGAATGTGGGAAAAATTTGTGTTTATAGTCGACACGACGGATAAAAATGAAAAATCACTGCAAGCCACGCGAGCTTCATGATCATTTAAGATCAGTAACTTGTTGGTTGATAATTTATGATGGAATTCATTTACCGAGCTCTGATTAGGCCCATATGGGAACATGCTGACTGATCTATTCTCAACTAAACAGAGATAGAGGACGAATCGAGGTGATAGGATATTTTCATTTTAATTTAATAGATTCTAATGCTTTTACAATTGTATTTTTATTATGAGGATTACTAGAACGCTTTGAATTTTTATTGTTATCTCGATACAGTCAATTGTTTGCGAAAGTTCAGACAGAACATCATAATAGTACTTAAGTCAAGCATTTTCTGTGTACGAAGGTTAACGACACAACTCAACCTCTTAAACTGAATAAAGTAGAGGAGGTTTCGATCTGGTGATCTAACGCTTGACAGTTCTTTAACTACAGTAGGTTGCCGCCCAAATAATACATATATATATTCTGTCAGCTAGCCATTGATTTTAATCTCCTGATAATTATTCGCAACCCGAGATTTGGGAACAGATTGAGTAAGTGAACCACCAGTAGTTTGATCCCCTCAGCAATTTCAGTTAATCGTCACATCAAAATGGTACTTGAAGCAATTGGCGAGAACGCTCTAGTTTTATAAACAACGCCCGTTTAAACTTCTTGTGATTTAAATCTGGCCAATTCTTTTATCAACATACTTCAAATAGTACAATACTACCGTGCATATATTCAGACTCGTCTAGTATTTGAAGATTAGCTGGAAAGTGGATGGTCAGCCAGAAAACGACAGATCTGAAAAAACTAAGATGGAATCGGAATATATCATTACATTTACTCATAGTTAATTTATAAAGCGCTTGTTGTTGATAAGCACGAACTACTTACTTGATATGCACAATCAGCTTCTTTTATTCTCTTTATTGACTCCCTGGCAAATACCCTGGGGATAGATTCAGAGACAACAAAATCAACTTCTTTGGATGAAATCAATTGAACATTCCCCTCTTCGTATAAATGTGTCTACATTTTTATCAAAAAAAGGATTGAAACAGTAATATATCTTAAGAATTAAAACTCAAATAAGTACTTTGCACGAATTTTTAACTTATGAAAACATATAAAATTCACAACATACTTTATTCCATAAACAAAAAGGCCATTGTGAAGATTTCCGCATAATTTGACATGAAATCTTGTAATAAATTACACTCATTGAACAAGTTAGTGGCTGACTAGACTCTGCGACTTGGTGGACGAGGCAGTGGAATGTACAGAAAGCATATATTGGGTTTGAATCTTAGTGTGAAGTCAGGTACTGAAATGCAGATGCGTCTGGCTGACAAGTACTAGATAAAATGAAGTTTCAGATCTTAGATCTCAGTGCTAAACAAATTCCAAAAGTATTTGTGGGAAGATTAAGAATTAGTCTAATTCCATTACTGCAATTAATTTTGAGCCATATCACACAAGATCATTACCAACTGATATGTGCATCAAGGACCTCTTATCCACAACATCTACACCAATAAACTATTCGTAGACTAATAACAACTAATAGGATGGTCTTATAATACAGGTTCTATAATGCAGTGCACGTCGGTTGGAAAACAGTAACGATTATAAAGGAAGCAGTCAAGGGTCCTAGAGTGAAGTTGCACTGCTGAACGAACTAGGTCCTGGAACAGACATACTAATCATACTTCTAGACCTTAGGGCAATAGTCGACAGTTTTTATGATATCGCTCAGTGAAAAGGAGTCCCAAAGTACGTCAGCTACAACGTAGGATCAGGCACATACTAATTGAGTCATAACTTATTATGAGCCGATAACAGACTTGCCACCACCAAGTACTATTCGTTATGGTTGCCACTTTCCCTGGTTTTGTCTAACTTCTCAAAGGCATTACTTCTGGGAACTACAAGAACAAATGACGTTTCCTCTACGAACACGCTTTCGGCTGTTGAGAATACAAAAAAATCATACGAATTATAAAATAATACCCAAACTATAAATATGGACACAATGCACATTGATACCCATTATCTTCAAGTTCTCAGTCAATTATTCAGTCAATAATAGAAAATTTGAAAGCCATATCAGTTTTTACAAGGTTCCAGACAATAAAAACAGTAGAACCCAGTTTACAATGCAAACACAAATATTCACAAACCTGAACTTTAATAACACCATGAACCGAAAACTCCATCGATTTTTGTCCAACTAGCTTGAAAGTCCATTCTGATCGCCATCGTCCAGTTCTACAAGTTGACGCAAAATAAGATACATGCATATCGCGATTATGACTTATAACTACGAACATTTGACAATCATTAAGTAATAAAATATTATTTAATTACGAAAAAGACTAGTTACCAAATGACTAGTGACTTCTAATAATCACACAGATGGAAAACTAGTTGATGGGGTTGTGAATCTGACGTGGTTGCAACATGTTAAGTATGTCAACCACATCCTATATTAAAGCGCAATTCCAATTCACGTAAGGGAAAGCTTGGGGCCAAACCATGAAATAACATCAGTTCATGACTTGGTCTGAGCCTTTCTGGTAGATTCAAATTACGTGTTTGGGACCACACGATAACCGCGGTTAGTGGCTAACATCGTTTTGCTTTGGTCACCATGGTACAGGTGCATTCACCTTATCATCCCCTAGATCTTGGGATTCAAAATCATTACACACCTTTTGTCTCGCGAATTAGTTCGTTATGCTCGAATCATGTTTTCAATGTGTATTCTTATTCTTACCAGTGATAATTCTACCACCTTTGTATTCATTTTCCTAATTTCATCTCGTTATACTGAGTGTAGCAACGGGTTGATGTATGCCAGGCTCCACAATGATTACAAATGACCGGATAAATAGGGGCACAAACTTCGACAGCAATGCAAAAAAAGTCAACTTTTAATAGTAAAACGAAACATCGCTTCGTAAAGTTCGTACGAATCACCATAAATACCTAATAAGGAGTGCAGTGCAAACTTCCGTACTAGGTCAAGACCTAAACTCCAATGTATGAGAGCCAATAATGCACCCTACAGTAACATTTCTGAGTAGTGAACCATTGAGTACTGAGACTGGTCAACCAAAACCTGGTGAATAAAAATGCATTATTACCATAAAAGGACGTAAATTTATGCAGAATGATCATACAGAAAATACAACATGCACAAAATTCACGATTTCGCGTGTTATTTGTTTTCTTAGGATCCTGAAGCCCATGTGTACCAGTGGTTTGGAATGAGGGTTTCCTAACTCTCCTTCGTATCCACGATCCCGGTTAAAGCGCCAGAAGTCCGCTTTTCGTCCTCTTAAAAAAATCTGTCCCGAGAAGGCAGTGAGTAGGAATTCCCTGACAGTGGCTGCATACGTGTGATGATGTGAGAGCATTTGGGAGGGAGCTGACTCACCACTCTTAGACGTACCAGAGCACTTGGGGTCAGATAAGTCATAAAGTATGGGCCTTTGCTAAGATTTTACGGAGGCCATACCATGAATGTTGGAAGGTAGTTTTAAAAGGTTGACTATCGTACTTATTTAACTAGAATGATTAACACTGGAGATACGTCAAGTAATGATGAACAGTAAATATATGAGGAAATCCAGACGTTAGAAATAGGACTGAAGGGGTAGAATATTTTCAGATGTTGGACACGAGACAAATTAGATCAGTCCCAAGGACTTTTCAACTTGGATGAGTAACCATATAGAACAAGGAGTGAAATCGTTTATGTAGGTCGAATATGGACTTATTTGGTTGTTAAGCTTAACACCAAATATCGTGTTCATCACGAAAATCTACCGTCGTGCCTTGGCAAAGCACTAGGTATTATCAATTTGGTTATCTAATTGGGTTAGGAAAACAAAAGAATTCATTATTCAGTTTATGGTTTTGTAAGGATATCAAACAAAAACGTACTGTACCGTCAGGTGTCATTTAGGCCAATGTTAAGATTAAAGCACTGAATTCAGAACTGATATACTTCGTAAAGAGTAGTAACAGTAACTAAATGACTAGAAATTTATAGAGAAACTAAAGAAAAACTATAGGAATGAACAATTTAGTACTTACGATTGATGTTTGCTGAAGTGAGACTCAATGCACATAACGAGACAGCGTGCACTATCATTCGACCTCAGAGCGTAAACTTCGACAGCTCCATCAGGGAAATGTTCGTTTACATAGACAGTAGCGCTATCTTCTAAGGCACGCCTCCAACTCTCCAGATCACAGTCTATATTATCAAAGCTACTCTTGTCAAAACTTTTAACATCACTGACTGTCTGCTTGAGATGGTCAAAATGAAATGTCAACTGCGATCTAGGACACATAAAATATCCATTCCCCAAGTCTGCGTACGCAGTAATCAGTGTCGGATACTCGCAATTTGGTAACTTCACATGGATCATTTGGTCCTTGTTATACTGTGCTACTGATCTAGAAGAGTTGAATAGTATAAATTTGTTCTTACGCTGCTAGCTTCTCATGAATATGATGGTCATCACCAGCGAAACAACGGATATCTGAATGAATGTGTGAGCGATTCGTACACCTTACCATCTAATACTTCATTAAATTCACAGGGCGGTGCAAGTAAAACCAATCTAGCACATATAGTAGCCTTTAAAACAAAATTGTCGATTTAACCAGGTATGAACAGCAGGATACCTTATCCTCTGGCGTAATATCCCCATCCACCATCTTAGCGATTAGCAAACCGACAAGGCGCAAAGTCACAAACTGCGCGCTCCTATTTTGAAGAGGAATGCGAAGTTCAGGTAGATTCAGATTTTCAGAACTGTTCAATAAGAACAGAAAGCCTGTGGCCTATGTTATTCCTTTTCTAGTATACTTCTGTGAGTGCCTAGTTTTCTTTTGAATGAGTCAATCGAAGGTGCGGACACCACTGCCTTGAGTAACGGGTTCCGATAATTGATGTCTCATTGTGAAAACCCGTATACCATGCGTATTTCGTTCGTTCTTTGATTTTCTAATCACCTTCTATGTCCTTTGAGTCGTCCTGACTGACAGGAAGAAAAAGGGAGGATATATTAAGTCTAAAGCCATTACTCAGTATTCTATACATCATTATCAGATCACCTCTTAATATGTGATACGACAGAGTAAAGAAGTCTAGCTTTTCAAGCCGTTCTTTTTATAGTAAACCCTGGAGTTCTAAAATTGCATGTTTATTTCCCCTCTGTACTTTTTCAAGGATATCCGAGTCACCTTATAAACAAGGGCTTACAGACTGAGTGCAGTTTTCACTTTTAGTTCTCATCAAGGGTGTGTTGACACTTATGGGCATAGTAGTGCCTAACTTGATAAATGTCCATCTCAAAGCCCATAGGGTTCTAAACCCCTTAGTTCCTACCTCACGGCAATGGGTCTTAAGGGTCTTAAGATCATAATCCACTGTCACCCTATGATCCATTTGAGACCGGACTATGGGTACAGGTACTTCCCCTGTGTTGTACCTGATTACCTTTGTATCCCCAAAGTGCATGTAGATACACTTTTCTGCGTCGTAGGCGTCAGCCACTCTTTGAATTATCTAATCACAATATTTAAGTCAGCCTGAAGTGCGCATGCATCTGATTCTCCCGTTATTTTTCGCCAGATTTTCACATCAGCGTATAATAACATTAGGACTCAACTATACTTGAGAGATCATTTACACACAATATGAAAAGTAAAAGGCCTAGGACAGAATCTCTCGGTACTCCACTAAGTACTGGTCTCCAGATGGAGCATTTGGAATTTACTCTTACTTTCTGTTTACGACCTACTAGGAACTCCTTAAGCCATTTTAGGAGAAGTCTGGCAATCCCTAGATTTTCCAGCTTCAAGTACAGTCTGTTCGCTGGCACTTTGTCAAATGATTTGCTGAAGTCTATGTAGACAACACCCACTGATTTTCCATTGTCTAGAACCTTTACCCATTGCTCCCGTGCTATCAGCATGTTTGTTATAAAAGATGAACCTTTTTTGAAACCATGTTTTTTGCTGTTTAACAAGTTGATGGTTTCCACGAATGTCATTATGGTCCTTTTGGCTATTCTTTCCAGTATTTTAACCACGATGCCGGTGAGGCTGACAAGTTTGTAGTTCGATGGAAGTTTTTTGATCCTGTTCTATGTATTGGAGTGACGATTGCATCCTTCCAGTTCGTATGTAACACACCTTGGTCAAGTGATGTATTGAATATCGCAGTCAGTGGCGCTGCAATATATTGTGCAATATGTCTCAAGATTTTTGGGTGCATTTCATCTAGCCCTGTCGACTTTCCCATGTCTAAGGTGATAAGACCCTTAAGTACATAGTCTTAATAGAAGTCCACGGTGAGCGGGTGGCTTGTTGACTCTGTATTTTGGTCTGGTTCTTTCTCTAGAAGAGGTTCCTGAGTGACAACTGCCAAAAATAGTCAGCCATAGCCTTTGCTTCTTACTTGTTTTCATCTATCGTTTCAGAATTACTCCCTTCTTTAATTAGGTTTGGAATCCAATGATGCATCCTTGTTCTATAGTTTATGTACGAGAATATTCTCTTGGGCTGCTTGAATGCAGATTGTGCCAAGTGAGTTTCATATTTTCTTCCCGGATTTTAATTATACACTTTTTTCTTACTGACCTGTAGCATTTCAAAGTACTTGTTGTGCCAAGAATGATGACAACGTTCCAACATTTCTTCTTTTATCTTGGTAAATGTCAAATATCCCGGCCTATCCAGGGATGGCCATGCTTCTTCTTCTGTGCGATCGTCCAGGGTATATATGGTTGAGTTACCTGATTGTATAACTGCTTGAAATGAGTCTGTGTCTCTTCTACTGATGCCTTTGAGTCAATTATCCTGTTTTCAGCCGATGCAGCAAAGTTTATCACCTTCATATCTGCCTTCCACATGCTAGGATGGGCTGGTGCAGTTGTTTGACAAGCGATGTTAAATATGAGCTTGATCAAGATGACTGCATGACCACTTCTCCCTAAAGGTGGGAGGAAAGTTATGTGACTGACATCATCACCATGTGTGAACATTAGGTTTCACAGAGATGAGGAGCTTCGTAAGTCTCATCTGGTAGGATTTCTAATGTGCTGAAACACAGCTAGTGCAGTCGAGATTTCTAACAGTTTACAATCAAACGAAGTTGTCAATGACCCTACTTCTATGTTTACCCAATTTATATACGGTACATAAAAGTTGCCAGCCATAAGGCCTTTACAGCTATTATACCAAGACTTAAGTTTGCTTAGGAGGAAGTCATCTACTACACATTCTGGACTATGATGTGCTACAATCAATTTAATATCTTGCCGTCTACATTTCAGCCTGAAGCGTACCATTTCACGTGTTCCTGGGTTATGTACCACTGTCTCGACAGTTCGTATGGTTAAGGTTCTTTTCCTGTCTAGGATAACCCTACAACCCCCATGTTTTGGTCTATAAACCCTACTAGGTCAGAAACCAAGCAATCTAGCTCCACATTTCACGACATCGTGCAACACACCTCTGACAACTAACCATAATAGGCATTATAAGCCAAAAAGTTTAGTCTGTTATCCAAATTTATCTCGTTCCGTCGTCTTGAACTCTTGCTTTCAGTGGTTTCAGGACCATTTCGTTACAAGTGGATCGGACAACATTATTACCTGACTTGGTAGAATTATAGTCTAGGTCGATATTAAGCGCGTTTATCTTTGCCACCAAAATAATAGACCTAATCCCAAAATTACAAGTTTGCCAAGATGTGACTACCTCATGTATAAGATCATACACAGAAACCACGTCGTTGTCTATGCTGATCCGTTCTATTGTGACAGTCAGAAGTAGGATATTTGGGACTTCTGAATAACACACTTGGGTTGGCAATGGAATAATGTATTTAATATGCACAGGAATGGATTACATTAAGTGACCATGTCTGTATGGCCAAGCCGTGTCATACCGATTCAGTGTTCCTTCGTTCATCAATTCTAACCTTCTCAACAGTGTTAAATGTCAAATTTAAAGCTCAGTTATTATATGTTCGGCCTATAAGATCGTGTGGTTGCGAACCAATACCAAATGCAAAACCAAGTGGGGTTACCTAACTCTGGTGGTTATCAAAAGAAGTGAAAGACCCTATGTTGCTACCAAGCAAGGGTCAAAGTAATTTCTGTCCAAATTTGAAGGTCAAACATGCATTCCCCGAAGATCACCTTATCACCTTATCCTCCCACTAATACTGTCTTTGGTAAAATGGGTTACGCGGAGAAATTTTTTTGAGACCCAATAACACTGTTAACTAGTGCACGAAATGTAGAATACGAAGCAACTTCCGACACAACAAATGCTTCATTGAATATAAAAATCTGGTCACTTTGTTCAACGATAAACTACCAATGAGACATTTCAGTATTCACAGGGCTAATATGGTCCAGCCTTGAAAATACTATTTTCCATTTTTCCGTCAATTTACAAAATTACACCACTTTGTGAGAGTGAGCAGGTTTCCACTGATTGTTGCTGGATTCCTTAATTTCTAGTCGATAAGCAGCATTTGTCGTTCTCCTTTCTTTTTAAAAATCACGTGAATAATATTATATTCAATAAAACAAAATCTTTGGGAAACGAGGTTCACATGCTGGCGATGAGACTCCCTGCCTGGACTTGGGATTAAACAGTCATTGAGTTAAGGGTGTGAGAAGCTTATACCTTGAAACATTTCGTCAATGAATCTTTTGGAAGTTTAAAGAGCACTTCTTAAGTCGACAGGTTTATTCGAAAATCCGCAGCATCCAAAAGCGATGATGATAGTTGTTTTAGGAAACCTTTCAAGGTTTTTCAAGATAGCTGTCGGATCGTGGGTGCGTGGCAACGAGGAAACATCAGGAGTAATTTCCGTATTAAGTAGCCGGTAATATGTAGTTAGATCCCAGCTGCTGCCGTACGTTTTAGGGACAATATCCAGAGCATATGCTCATAAGCTATCATATGTTCGAATTCATTTTTGCCCGATCAAAGTGTTTTGGGAACTAATCGGTGGCTTTCAAAAATACGGGTTGTCCTATAGTCCCGATATAGTGTGATGCCTTCACACAGTAGTTGAGGTCAAGTTTTGTAAGGTTGAGGGTACTTGTCAGGTGTCGGTTTGAAGTATGGATCGATCATATGTTTACTTGTGGCCGGGTATAACTTGCAACCAGGAAATGACAATCCTCAAACATATAATTTCGTGTTTCCGTCCACTAACCCCAGTTTGCCCTGGTTGATGAGTAGGTTATTATGTCATACCAGGTCTATACCACTGATTGGCATAGAGATGTCAACAACCACGAATAACAGTGAAAGGATCTGCATAAACCCATGTTAGGGTAAACATATCTTTTACCGTGTGGCGATTGGTCTTCCATTTATCGTTTGTAAGCTGAAGACCAGATATTGCAGGTGGTCACTAGATTTGTGGGAAGAACGCTTACTTCTGCTTCAATGTCGAAGAGATGGAGAAAGTTCGACGTCATATTAGTGATGTACAGTGTACGTCTCTTTCCATCGACTAAAGTTGCAATTAGTTCACGTCGTTCGGGAAGCTTCTTATGAGGTTTGTCGTGATGAAAGCTATGCAGTTAGGGAAATCCAGGGTTTCTTGTAGTTTTTATAATACTTACCACAGATGTTGTAGTATTAACACGAATAAGAGTAATCTGTTTGTCATGAACTAGGAG